AGTCATTCTAACATATTGCTTTTCTAGATATAGAGAGATTCAGTTTATAACTTCTATTACTCTAGAGATCCCTGACAAATACACCAGGCATGTAGAGAAGGCATCCTAGAGCAGTTTGTGTCTCAGCGATGTCACAGATTCCCAATGGCCACCTTCCCTTAACCATTCTTCTGGTGATGCTTTGGTGTTGGCCTTCTTGGCTCCTATAACATCTCAGTAATGACAGTAAAATAGTGAAAATTCCACTTCTCTCAAATGGAATGCAGAGTAATACAATTAAATGAGTGCCTCAGATGGAGAGATTCTAGGATAAGTGAGGAATGGACACAAATCCCCATGTCTTAGCTTTTGTGGGCCATGACCAGGCTCCTGACCCACATGAAGATCAGAGGACAATTTGTCAGAGGTTTGTTGTCTCCTTCAATCATGTGGGTCCCAGGGAAGGAACTAAGGCCTATAGGCCTGGCAGCAGGTACCTTTGCCCACTGAGCCAATTGTCCAGCTGAACACATCATCCATGGAATTGAATGAGCTTTGTATATATATACATGTTCTGTGTGTATATATGTTCTTTATTCATGAAGAGTAGATTATTTCTACCCTTGTTTGACAGCACCATTTTGGGACTCCACAGGATTATTTCCTCCACACATTAACTCTTCGATTCAGTCTCAGATGTCAGAACAGGTTCAGGGGAGCTTCACAAGAATACAGAACTCATCTGGAAAAAACTCTTCATCAGTACACAGTGGGATCATGTGGGAAAAGAGCAGCATCAACCATCCCTCTCCCTTCCTAGCCTTGCACAGGCGTGCTCTCCATCAGAGGCACATGGCTTTTCTGCAGGCTTCATCCCCTCTGGCTCTTCTGAAGCTTCCTCCCAACACTTAGCTGGAGTGTCAAGAGGGACTCCTAACCACACCTCCACCACCAGGAGTGTCGTCTTATTTCTGCATTTCATCAGATGGCCCTAATGTTTATTGTCATCCAATGTGAGATGTGAGAAATCTGCTCCAACGCTGACAATAAGTGATGCTGGAGCAGGATCCTGAACCCATGAACGCCTTACATGGATGCATGGCATCCTAAGACAATTACCACCATGCCTACATCATATATTTGTCCCTACAGAACTCCTGAACTTTCTCTTTGGTTAGTGCTGATTCATTCCAACTAATACAGCACACGTGACTAGAAAGAAAACAGCCAAGTGCAGGAGCTGAAGAGATGACTCCTTTACTTTGAGTAATTGTTTCTCTCCCAAAGAAAAAACAGAGTAGCTAAAAAGTATCCTCCAGTTTCAAGAGGAATTTGATGCCCTCTTCTGGCCTCTGGTGGAATTGCATGCATGTAGTGTACAGCCCTTCAGCAGGCGTAAGGCCAATACATGTAAAAAAAACAAAGAAATCTTAAAAAGAGATTGCTTTAATGCATCATTAAGGCCTACAGCAGCAAAAAAAAATATATGACCACTTATCTTTGAATTCAATCTGTCCATTATTTGGTTATCACACAAGCTTTATTTCAAGAAAATCAGAGGCAGATAGCTCTGGTTTTTTAATACGTTTTTTTAAATGTTTTATTGATTCTCTCTTGTTTTCACATCATGCATCTCAGTCCCACTCTTTCAACTCCCTGTTCCCTTGCATCTGTGCTGTGCCCGTGATACCTCCAATCTAAAATAAAATAATACAAAGAAAAATGCAAAATCCAAAACCAAAAGAAAACAAACAAAAATCTTGCTGAGGAATATGTAGTGTGGCCCAGTGAGTCACATAGTACATCTTTTAGTCTATACATCTTATTTTGTAAGTGTACTGGCCTCTGACTTCTCCTATACTGTCAATAATCCACCCTCACTGGGACTCCTCTTTTATAGAATTGGTGTCTGTGTCATGGAGATACTGCAGCTCTGATCTGCAGATCTGGGCCATTCACGTGTCCTGCAGTTCATAGATGAAGAGTGTGTTAGGGTGGGATAACTTGTAGCCCTTGTTCTGAACCTGGGTGGCACCTGGGTTAGTGAGTCCACCGCTTTCCCTCATCTTCACCACCTGAGTAAGCTCTCCAACTCTGCCCCAGCTAATTCACCATATGCAGCAGGCAGAAGGAACAGAGCCCAATTCTCCTCCTTTATGCCCTCACATCTGGGTCACCCATACTCAGACCACAAGAACCAGCTCTGCTGTTTGAACTGGCAAGGTGCTGGGCCAATTTTCCCAATTGTTACAGATGGTCAGGGACAGACCCAGCTCTTCTGTTCTCAAGCCCCAGAGGACAACTCTCCCACCAGCTTCAGATAGCATGTGCTCAGGTGGGGAAGGCATTTTCCCTCACCCTTACCAACCAGTTAAAAGAAGGGGAGCAGCCGGGCGGTGGTGGCGCACGCCTTTAATCCCAGCACTCGGGAGGCAGAGCCAGGCGGATCTCTGTGAGTTCGAGGCCAGCCTGGGCTACCAAGTGAGTTCCAGGAGAGGCGCAAAGCTACACAGAGAAACCCTGTCTCGAAAAACCAAAAAAAAAAAAAAAAAAAAAAAAAAAAAAGAAGGGGAGCAGAGTCAGCTCTTCTGCTCTCATACCCTCATGACCAGCTCTCCTGCACCACCACTAACAAGGACAGCTCTACATGCTGCTCAGTCCAGGTGCAGGATCCACTCTCCAAGTGCTGCAGTTGGTGAGGGGCAGATCCAGTTCTCCCTAGTGCTGCAGCCTGTGAGGGGCAGGGTTAACTCTTTGAATCCCTATCCTGTTGTCTTCAGTGGTAACAGGAGCCACTGACACCAACATAAACTGAAGCTGTGGCAGGGTACAGGTTCCAGATATGGCCCTTAGCAGCAGCCTAGACCAGGAGGCCACCATGGCCCCTGGTGGCAGCATAGGCCACTGAGAGCTGTATGGCCCTGGAAGAAGTATAGCCCTAGAACATTAACATGATCTTAAGTGGCTACTCACACACTAACTATTTCTGTGTATCTCTTGGTTGACAACTCAGGCCATGGACATGAACATAGAACCAGGTTGCATTTGCAACATGGACCTAGACATGATCCTAGGCTGCATCCTGAGTCTGCATGTCTCCATGGCCCTGTTTGGCAATGCAGGTCACTCAGAACAGCATGGACTGAGCAGCAGGCCCCAGATATGTCCATGTGACTGCCAAGATTCCAGGAATTTGCCATGTCTTTGATGGCATTAGGAGCCTGGTATATCAATGCAGACCCTGGTTTCAGCAGAGATATGGACCCAGATGTGGCCCTTGGCAAGCTTCCTGGCACATATTTCACTATGGTCCTTGGTGACAGCATAGTTGTCTAGAACACACACACTGCCCCTGTGGGATCATATCCTTGAAGTACGATAGTCACAGGTGGTGCCCAGACTGAAGGTGGCTGCAAAGACCTCAGTGATACCAGGAGTCACAGATATCAACACATATGCCCACATCTGTGTCAGGGCCATGGACAAGATATGGTCCTTGGATGCCCAGACAGGGACATCACAAAGGCCCGCATGGCAAGCAGGTCTTGGAGTTTTTGCATACTCCCTTAGTAAATGTTTGGATTTCCTGAGAGGCATTAGAGCAGTATTGTTGTGTTTCATTAATATGGTTCACATGATCATTTCATAAAATGTGTATACAGAATACTATAGTTTAGGGATAACTAAAATTGTGTCCAGAAAGAACAGTATGGATACTTTTTCTATCAGGAAACGGGCATACAGAGTTGGAAACACCATCCACATCCAAAGCCCTGTGTATCCCTGCCTTGGCTGGGAACTCACTATGTAACCCAAGCTGGGCACACTAAAGTTCTGGAGTTACAGATGGTTCTGGAGCTATAGGAGTGAAACATCACACATGACCTAGAAATTGATATTAAGAGGGAAGAATTGGAAACTGTCTGTCTAGAACAACTTGACATCAAGATAGTCTTCCGTGATGGATTTCCCACCACATGGGGAGGGCTAAGGACTCAGTGAGCTTGCCAAAGTCATGGACATTAAACTGACAGAAAAAGTCTTGCTTATCAACATCTCTACCCTTCACATTGTTGTATCCTTCACAGGGAATACATTCTGTTGACTGTCATGGTTCTGAGTAACTCTTCTCTCAGATTTTCTGTATCTCAAGTTCGTTAGTGATGCTTTCTTTTGTTCAGGAGTAGTGAGTCAATAGACCATGGATCTGATGGGGCTGGACCACCTGGAGGTCAGCTGGTGTCTGTCTCACTGGTGAGATCACAGCTGAAAGGGGTGTCTTCATCTGAGAGGACCTTGACCCTAGGGTGGAGAATGTTGCACGATCAAGCTGACTGCGGCTTCTATGGCTTCCTCAGTTTTCCCACAAGAGCTGCTGACAGTGAAGGAAAGGATATCATACCTAAAGCAGTTTGACTGGGACACAGCTAGATAAACTTTGAGCCCAGAGCAATACTGACCAGAGAAATCAGTCTTAAGAGTTCAGAATGGGAAATCACATTTTTATTTACAAAAAAAAAAAAAAATACAGTCATTTTACTCAATTGTGCCTTAAAAGGAGCACAATATAAACAGTAAACAGCCTTATCAAAATACCAAACAACAAGAACAAAAGAAAGAACAAATGAATTCAAAACCTCAAACCATAACAAAGAAAACCAAAAAATCCAAACCAAACAAAACCCAACAAAACAATGAATCAAAAAAAAAATTAAGCTAAGCAGCTTGCTTAATTAAAATAATAAGATTAGGTTAATCATGCAACAGACTTTGAAGCACAGACCAATAGCCTGTGGCTGGCCTTGGAAACATGGTAGGAAGGCAGTCGCAATTGTAAAAAGCATTTTCAAAGCAAGTATAGCCATGCTTCCTTGGAATCTCATAGGATGTCTTCTTCTGAGGAAGCTACGATCCATGGGTTCAAGTTGCCTGTGGCGTCTTTGGCCTCCTCAGTTCTCTCATAGCTGCTGTGAGAGAAGGAAAGGCAATCAGTCCCAGAAGCAGCCTGCCTGGGCCACAGGCTAGACAAAATTAGGTCTATTCACATTGGAAGCCAATGTCAAGAGCCCCCAGTCCCCATGAATGCCATGGTTGCAGGGGTTGGAATGCAGTGGTGGCTCACTTGCCTGTGATACTTCCTGCTCCTGCTCCAGCAGCTCTGTATGCAGGAGGCTCTCATCCTGGGCTGTGACATGTTCCAGCTCATGTTGCAGATTTTCTGACCTAGAGGAGGAAGGCAGTTAGGGAACAGGCCTGGTGGGGACCTGCTATATCAGCTGTTGAGCCTGAACCAGCTCTAGTCAGCTGGACAGTCCAGCATGACCTTTCTGCTGAGGTCATTCCCTGCATTTCCTAGCTGAGAAATGTCAGCTTATACCTGGGTCTGGGTTTTATTCTCAACTAAATTCTACTAGAAAATGAACTGAGAACTACACTGTGCTGGGCAAGATATTCAGCATGTTTTTCCAGTTTTTTAGATATATTGTTGTGAGAAAAAATAACAGTGTCTGATAAACAGTTAAGGGAAGATATAGATGGCCCTGATTAGATACCAGGTGAATGAGCAACCTGGGAAACTGAATGTAGACCCTCTAGAGAGCCTACAAAATAAAAGCAGTGAAGGTTCTGATTATTCCTCCAGCACAGAGACCTGCCTGAGTTCAACACCTCAACCCCTAAATAATCTCATGTCCAGAAAAGTCTTTTCACAGGAGACAGATGCACAGTGCAGAGAGCCTGTAATCAGCAAGAGTGTGCTGCATGCAGATCTGCCCAAGTAGGAAATTTTCTGTAAAGGTGATGTTCTAAAAGGAAAATAAAGTGTCAGGAACACACTCTATCCTCCACAACTAACCCTGCTCCTGCTAGATTGAGGACTACCATAGTGAGATTTATGGGGAGACACAGGGGACACTGAGAAGATACCTGAGAGCTCAGAAGGGAATAAGGGGTACACATTCCCCAGAAACATTAAAGATCAAACATAGTGTTTCCTGGAGAAGTTCTTGTTAACTGGGCCAGCACAATACCCTGAGGTGGTCTTTCCTTGGCTGTGGCTGAGAGCCATCCAGATGGGGAGAATCCCAAAAAGGACAGAGATCCAGGTACAGGTGACCTACATGGTTCTAACCACTCCTCCCAGCTTGGGCTCCTACCTCATCTCAGAGACATTGAAGTGTTGTTGCAGCTTTTCTGTCAAGTCCCTTTGCTGGGTGGCCAGCTCCTTCTGCTTCAGCAGGTCCTTCATTCTTTCCTCCAGGTTTTCTTGCTCCTGTTCATTAGAAGATTGTGTTCTCAGTGGACTTTTGCTCACTCACATGGACACACATAAAGTCATGAAAGCACACAAGTACATGTTGCACACATACAAGCACACTGTAATGCACTAACATGTTTAGTTTCCCAGCTAATGCTAATATAAAGAGCAATCACCAGAAATACTATTGAGAAGAAGATTAACTTTTCTTGGATGAGAAATGAACACAGTGAGCATGAGAGATAGGCAGTTGAGACCCTGAATTGCCTGTCCTGTAACCTAATGCACAGGCAGGTAGACCTCCGGGGTCCTGGCCCATTAGCCAACCCTGCTTAGGAAGTTCCCCAAGCTGTGCAGTATAGGAATGTTCCCCAGTACAGGACCATCACATGGTGGTAGACCAGACCACTGATCTTGTTCAGGGCTTCCCAGTTGCCCTCAAGTTGAGCAAATTCCTCCAAGAGAAGCTCCCTTTACCACAGGCTGCCTCACTTCAGACACAAAGCAATGAGCTCAAAAAACTTGAAAATCTCCACAACCAGGATCCAAAAGGAACAGTTCCTCCCTGTAAGGTGATCATTTCAGAAGTTTGTATGAGTAACAAAAGGCTGACTAAATCAGAGTCAAATGATATTCCATGGAAGGGCTCAACCACACTGTACTACACTCTTCCAATAATGGACATCTAGATAGTTTCTACTAGAGGCTACTCTGAGGAACACTGCTAAAACTCTGCTGCCCTCTAGCTTCTCTAGGGACATCTACTTCATGTTCTGGATCACTGTGTCACCTGGGGATTGCAGTTCAACCTTCTGAAGAATTGTGTGTGGCTTCTCACTGCACTATATCATTTTATATGACCAGTAATGTCTGAGGGTTCTCATTTCTCCCAGCCCTCATGAGGCAGATTTTAACTCAGAATGAAGAACTTTGAAGAAAAGCAGTTACTGAGTGCTGCAGGCATAGCACATGGTGAGTTCTTTAGACCATCATGAGCCTAAGTTGGGTGTGCTGAGACAGCCCCCTTCTCACACCTCAGCATGGCTAGGGGACTTCTGCTGGACTTGGATGCAGAAAAATGCACACTGCAAGTCAGAGTCTCTCAACAAATAACATCCAGTCCAAGCTCCACAGCCAAGGTAAACTGAGCCAAGGTTAGGCAAAAGTGGAAAGAAAGTGGTAGCAGGCAATGTGGATGAGGACAAGACAGGACACAGAGAAGACAACGTAAGCCACAGACCATTGAGTATACAGTCACCATTCACCCAGGGCAGAGAAGGGACACAAACTCTCAACCAGCCAATCCTGCCTCAAAGACACAATGGCCTCAATTTCCTGTACCAAGTTCCTTTGGTTTGCTCCAAGGATTTCCTTGCAGATAAAAGTTTTTGACTCTACAAATACTGAAAACCACTGAATTACAGCAGTTTTTCTATCCTTTCATTCTAGAGAGATAGGTGGACATGTAGAAAGATGGGCAAAAGAATACAGAATTTGATAGATGCCAAGTGTGTGGGCACAGTACATTCTCAATAATGTTGGGTCTCCATCATCATGAAAGATGTTTCATGAATAAGTTTGGAGAACTACACACACATACACACACAAACAAGTTTACACATTCACACACAGAAGCACATACTTGCACTCATAAGCACCCATACTCTCAACACACAGAAGCACTTACCCATACACATACAGGAAACATGGGCAGAGAAACACCCATTAACACACACAAGGTCATAAACACAAACATAAAGGAACACTACTGTAGAAAGAACAGCCAGAATTCACACACACACAGAAGTTCACCCTCACAGTTGGACAGAAATGCAAACACAGATACAAACACACACACACACACACACACACACACACACACACACACACACACCCTTCCTGAACATATGTCCAAGAGAGGACTGCTGCCTTGTAGCAGCTTTTCTGCTCTGGGGGAGGTCATGGGTCTTCCCTGCTATGTACCAGTCTCTTAGATTCAGCCAGCCTCTGCTACCCTGGCCTGCACTCTTTTCCTTCCATGAACTTTATGCATCCCAAGACTCATTGATCCCACAGGCTGCAAGGTAATCCATCATAATCTCTTCACTAAACTTACCCTAGCTCCTCCAAGAAGACCTGGATAGCTCAAGTGAAAGAGATTGACCCATGGTCAACACCCAGGAGGTTGTCAACAGATTACAGTGCATATGATATGAATTCACCCCAATGGCATTCAGAAGGAGGCCAGTGACATCACCTGCAGTGCTTTTCAGGAACACAGTACTCCACACAGCTATGAGAGGCAATCTGTTCCAAGACACAGCCATGCACATGATATAGTCAGCAACACAATGTCAGCAAAGAGATGCACTGTAGGATTCCGTGTTGTGAAGCCAATGAGACAAACCAGACACTGTTGTGTTAGCTTTGTGTAGTGAAAAGGAAGAAGTCTAATTTTATTTTTAAAATACCCGTATTGTTTTATTTTTGTTATTTATTAAAAAACACATGTATACCAATCAATAAAAGTGTATAAACACAGCCGGGCGGTGGTGGCGCACGCCTTTAAAACCAGCACTCGGGAGGCAGAGCCAGGCGGATCTCTGTGAGTTCGAGGCCAGCCTGGACTACCAAGTAAGTTCCAGGAAAGGCACAAAGCTACACAGAGAAACCCTGTCTCGAAAAACCAAAAAAAAAAAAAATGTGTATAAACACAACAGAAAGCAATTTAAACTTACTACAATTACATGAGACAAGACAAAAGAACCCCTTGGGAAGAGAGGAGACAGAGTGCTGGCCAGGCAGAATGGACCAAACAGAAATTTTTAGGTTCAGTGAATGACCTGGGCTCAAGGGAACAAGGGAGTGAGCAACAGATGACAACATAGGATTTCATTATGTAGCCTCTGAACACACACATATGCACACATTTACACATGCCTGCATAGATCACACACCGACCACAGAAATCAAAAGTGAGCAGAAAACAAGGAAGGGTACATCGTATTGAGTGAACAATTGAAGTTAGACTATGCACATCACATGTTTCAGCAGAGACTTACAACACAGCCATCCGTCACTTGGGAACTAAAAATGCCTAGAGGAGAGCACACAGCTTAGTCAAACTATGTTGAAGTGATTGGAGAAAATGTTCTCTTGAAGCCTCAAATCTGTCACTTCAACCCTCAGGCTGTCAAAATCCTCCCACATCTCTGGTCATTCAGTCAGCTCCAGACTGGAAACTCCAGGATGGGAGAACTGTCCAGCACCACCCACAGAAAACAGGCTGACAAGCTGATACTCAGGCCTCTGACAGTATGGACCAAGAGTTAAGCTAAGGAAAGAGAGCACACTGCGATGTAGGAAGAAAGGAGAAGACCACATGCCTCCCCAAAATTGACCCCACAATGAGAACTACTCACTTTGCACTGGCCCTGGGCTCTAATTCTTACAAGCTCTTTCGTACCTGAGATCTCACATGACATCTGCAAAGCAAATGAGCCACAGGCCACTGACCTAATCAATGAGAGCTCTGTGATATTCTCCAAGTAGCTCTCTGCATAGCAGACTGGTAACATAATAACATGTAGGTGTGTTATAGCTGACTGACCCATCTCTCTGAATGTACTGCAGCTTCTAGCAGAGCAGGAGGGTTTGTTTGCCAATCATCCAGTATCTTGAAAGAGGCTAACTCTACAGAGAGACTTGTGAATGATCACAGATGAACAATTGGATGGTATGTAAGTGGGAGTCTGCATGGATGGTGGATGGTTACATGGGTGTCTCTATGTCTATGGTTGGACAGGTGGGCAGCCTGCCCCTAGTGCCTCAGCCTACCTGCTGCTGCTCAGCACAGGGGTCACAGATCTTCTCATGAGCCTCCTTCAAGAGCTTCTTCACCTCCTCACAGGTCTTTTGCAGTTCAATCTGCTCCTTCCACAGCTGTGTGTTCTGGATCGTCAACACACGTACATTCTTCTTTAGGTGATTACACTCTTGTAGGAACCAGCCGTGGAGGTAACTGAACCACCAAAAAAAACCAAAAAAAACAAAAGAAAAGAAAAATGGTGAGCCTCAGAGAGGCTGCATTTGCCATCTCTATTTCTAAATGCTATGAACCCTGAAAAATCGGAGGCCCAGGACAGCACAAGAATGGAGCTCTCAGTAGCCAAGCCAGCATCACTCAAATGCAGGCCAAATCCAGAGAATAACCAAATTCCCGATAGATTCAAATTACTTCTGAAAATCCTGGTACCGAAAGGGATCCTGTGCCTCTAAGAACAGGGTGCAGCCCATACCTGTGTTTAACTGTTCATGGTCTTGGGAAAGCATCAGCAGATAGAGGGCAAACACTCTCTGAAGGAGGGCAGAAGTCCCAACCAGAATAAATTCTCTCTACAGATCCCAGGCAAACCAGATCTGTGATGCTCTAACCAGAGCCCTGGAGGCCCTGGGCTTCAGGACATCCCCTTCATGATACAAAGGATATTCCTATCTAAGGGCTCCCACAGCTGGACAATGATGGGAGGGACTCAGTGTTTTTCCACACTTAACAAAACTGAGTCCAAGAGGCACAAATCCAAGGGTCACAAAGGAGGATGCTGGCTAAGAGGCACACAGGCTAGAACCAGAGCCTTCACTTTGAGTCAAGGACAAAGAAAGGCAGAAACAGTCCCTCCCAAGCCAGTAGGCACTTACCTAAAGTATTCAGTCTCCTCAATCAGCCCCTTGCACTTGTTTAAGGCATCACTAATCTCCATGGGCAATTTCTGGAGAGCTGACATCACCTGCTTGTGTTCCACTTCAAGCATCTCGAGTTCAAAATTTAGCCTGTGGTAGGGCATGGACCCAGGAGGGAAAAAAACCCATGAACACAGGCCAAAAGGAACACATGAAAGAAGCTGTGCCATGGACTACCCCAGTCCAGTGGATACCAAATCTTGGCACTTAAACAGTGGGACCTCCTGGTGCTTATTAAACATCCTATCCTGTCCCCAGGACAGAACAGCCAGGAGGTCTAAGGGGAGGAATCCAATGATGCATGAGCACCCACAGTGGGCTTGGAGCTATAGATAAGCGCTCTAAGAAGTTCTCAGGAGTCTGTGTCACATATGTGGACTCACCAGAAACCTATGGGGACATTCTCCTGTCTTCAGAACAGGGATTCTCATTCCTGGGTGTCTATTGCTACACAGAGGACCAGAGCACACAATCAGTACTTCCAGGAGGGAGCCCCAACTTCAGGATGGTTTTGTAAACTTCACATGTGTTTCGAATGTTCGACCAAGCTGAGCACAATGCTCAAAGTGGGGTTCCCTGGACTCAGCAGTGCCATCATCTGGAAGCTATGTTAAATCCTCAGACCATGCCCTCAGACTCTCAGGAACACACACACACACACACACACACACACACACACACACCAACCCACATGAAATCAGGATGCCCAAGAAATATTGGCATGAGGCATTGTTACAAAGTATAAGAAGACCAGAGGGGAGCTGTGATGAGCTCCAGGCCTTCCAGCCACATCCTGAGATGGATGAATGGACCAGGCCTCTCCAGCTGCTGACAGGAGCTTTCAGTTTGCAATCATCTGCTGGTCAAGTACAAAGACTCAACACTAACGCACAACACCTAGCATCACCCACAAGCCACACCTGTCAAGACCTCTTGAAATGCATGATGAGAGCTCACACACTACTGTCCCTATCCTCAGACTGTGATTCAAGCCTTAGGCTCTGCTTTTCATTGGAGGAAGCAGACAAGTCTGCATCCCCATCTCACTCCTAACCAGGCTCCAAGTTCTGCATCTCAAAGGAACTCATGAAAATTAGTTTAGGCAGCAGGACACCATGGATTCTCAGCCTCTGATTCCTCAGGAAACCTGGCCTTGATACTGTGGTGTCATGATGGCCAGCAGAGAACTGGGAATAAAGACTACCTGTTGTTCAAATCCTTGTTTGTGTAATTGGCCAGGATTCCACGCATCTCATTTCTCTCACATTCCATATCATGTAGACGAATGGTGAGTTTCTCTAGTTTTTTCATTTCCTGCTCCTGCTCCTGCTCAGTGAAGGTGGAGCATTGGGATGGTGCCACCCGAGTAGTCCCTGCAGGTAGACAAAGACAAATGAACTTGTATTCTAGAATGGCATAGGGCCAGGAGAGTCCATGCTGAGTCCCAAGACGAAGCCTAAGGAAGAGAAAATGCTAGGAACCCTGTGAAGCTTCCAAACAGCAGGGCAGCTATCCTCAAACTGGGGCCCCTGAGCTCTGTCTCTGTCCTCAAGCACTGTGGATAATCTTGTGCCTCCCTCCGTATTGCAGCCCTCTGGTCCTGGAAGGCCTAAGCAAACCCAGCCATGTAGAATTGGAGGACAGGGTCAGGTCATATCTGATGTGATGCAGCTAAGTCCTGTTGTCCCTAGAAGTTAGCAGCACCAAGGCCTGATCACATGTCCAGGACCAAAGCATCTGAAGATGTGCTGTGTGGTCAGGGGAGTTCCTTCCCTTCCTTTTGGAATAATATTCCCATGGAAACTGAAGAAATCGACTGGGATGAAGTGCAGCAACACCCTACCCAGAGAGAGCCATCTCAGCAGTCAATCTGTTCCTCCTGCCCTTCTTTGCCTCTAAGAATGAAATGAAAGAATTCCCAGCTGCAGCCTGGACAATTCATAGCTCTCCAGAAACTAAGCATCAGAAACTCTTGACTCTGGGTCTGCTCTTTAGAAAGCCAGAGAAGCTGGTTTGGCCCATTGTTACTCAGAAACCCCCTGCTGCTGAGCTCTACTACCAGAAATCTCAGTTCAAGTTCACTTCCTCCAGCAAACTTCTCCTACTCTGCTCAGGAGTCACTGTGCCTTAGACAGATCCATCTGTTTCTCCAGGTTTGACACTGAGGCCAGCTTCCTTCTTCCTCTCTTTGGTCTCTCCATGTTCTCCATTCTCTCTCCCAAGCAGCCTGCTCAGTCTTGCCAACTGAGTCTATGAGAACTGAATGAATAACCCACAGGCATTGGTGTTACCACAACACGGGTGACATCATAGAGATTACCAAGGACGCTCCAGGAGACAATAGAATCACCATAGAAGGGATGATTAGGGTCACCTCCAGCAGACCTCAACTATCAACTAACTAGCTCTTCTCCACTTCACCAGAACCATGTTGCCATTCCCAGGAGCCTTCCCAGAAACACAAGGGAAGACCTTCAACACCTCCTCCTTACAAAGCCAGAGATCTCTTTCTGTTTCATTAGAGTATAATCACTACTTCATGTTATGGAAGATGAAGACTCACTTCAAAACACATCCCAGGAAATGACTGGCCCCTTGTTGAGATCCCCAAACAATAACATGAGAAATAAAGTTTGCTAAATAACATGAGAAATAAAGGTCAGGATGGAGGAGAGGAAAGATCAGTCCCCTGATGTCAACAAGCACATTGTGGAGGATCCACAAGGCTTTTACTGTATGTGGGTGTGGTAGAGCTTATGGGTGTCCTGTCAGAACAAAGAAATGTCCTTTAGTTAGTGAGAAAAATTTCCCTGAATCATCAGTACAATAAATTCCAGCCAACACAATATTAGCTAATGTGATCAACTAGTAACATGTCAGGCTGGAGATGCTAAGAACTGGGGTTCTCCAGGTGAGCCCTGAGACAAAAAGAGTAAACACTCCCATTAATCATCCATTCCTGCACTCAAGATTGAGGAAAGATGAATGGCTAGGGGGATGCCATACACAGATATGTAAGGGCAAATGTGTCACAGTCATGGGAGAGACTGTAGTGTGACACTGCTATGTTGCTTCACCTAAAGCTACACAAAGACTAATTTCTTGATCTGGAGCCACCTGTGACAAAGCACATGCCCTTAGGAAGGAAATGGGCACAGCCAGCTTAAAGAATACTCATCGGAGCATTGAAGGGCAGGCAAAGGACACAGGAGACATATTATTAGGGTTCATTTGCCCTAGACCATTCCCAGAGCCGAAGTTCACACTTGTGAGTTTCCTAGCAGTCCTGAAATGAGGAGCTAGCACCATGTTTAGCTTGGATTGCAAATTCTTCAGAAGTCTGGACTGTGGATTCAGAAGTGTACTTGGTGGTACCAAGAACAAATGATTGATGTGGGGTAAACCATTTCCAATCAGATGTTATATCACACTGAAAACCAATTTAGACAAAGTTAAGTATCTCAGTAATTCCCTATTCTAGAAGTCAAAGCACAGTACCTGCGTTATGCACCACCACATCTCAGTCAAACCTGACACACTGAAGGATGCTCAGGAAGTAACTGGAACATGAGACTTTGCTCTAGCAGCTTCTCAAAGACAAGCCTGAGTCTCTTCCTCTGTGGATGTCAGTTCTCCTATCTCTCTATAGCGAGGTGGATATCTCTGAAGTCAGCAGGTTTCCTCTGTCTCCCTAGACAATGTGACCCAGGGTGCACCCTCCTAAGGCTTATTTATTGCTACAGAGAATGCACTGTAGCTTCAGAGCCCTCAGCCAAGTGCTTTGAAAAACCAGGAGAAAATTGCTACTTTCATACTCAGGTAGTGTATGGATGCCCGCCTCACTTACTACACACTACAAACTCTCATGTTAATTTGGAAGTCATGAATGGGCAGAACATGGTCATCAGATTCACAAAGCAGTCCTTAATGATAGTCCAAGACACCCAGAGCTGGCAGGATGGCAACAGTATCCATCCAGGTCCACTGAATCTAACAGCTCTCAGGCTGAACTGCAGACCTGTGTGCCATCATCATTTTGTAACTCAGAAACCACAGGGGTCATTTGAAGACAGCAGCACTTGGTGGATCCTGCCCTGCTAGTGCCTGTGATGTCAAGTATGAGAACCTCAGGACTGCCAGGGTACTCTCTTTTCCCTATTATTATTGGCACATAACTACAGGACTCCAGTGTGTGGAGGAGGGAACACAGTTATGGTACAGATATCTCATTAACTCCTTTGTGCCTCCTTCCCCACTCAGAGTGAAAGCAGATGGTACCCAGCAAAGCAGCTAAAGCCTTGTCAATTCCTGATTCTGCCAAACTAACCATCATGGATCCTTGATCTAGTTTGCTCTTTAGGAACCCAGAACAGGATAGGCCTATTCCTTCCCACAAGTTCCCAGCTCTTGAGCCCTAGCTCTGGAAAGCTCAAGACCATCACATCCAGAAAGCTGCCCAGTCCTACTGGACTCACTGTGTCTTCCCCAGCACCAGAGATTTCTCCATGTTTTCCAGTGAGACCTAGGGCCTGCTTCTTTCTTCCTTGCTCTGGTCTCTCCATGCTGTGTATTCTCTCTCTCAACTAGACGCCTCAGTCTTGACCACATCTCTGTAGGTGAACCTTACAGCACTGAACTAATGTCCTAAGCTCACGGGGTGTTGCTACAACACTACTGACATCACAGGGGATTCCAAGAGTTCTCCAGGATACAGTAGAATTTCAGAAAAGAGACTGCTGATGTCATGGGGCACAGCCTTTGCTTCCTTGCTAATTCTTCCTTTACCAGAAGATGAGGTTGCCTTTCCAGGAGTCTCTGCTGTGACACAGAAAAGGGAAGGGTAGGGAAGGGAAGGGAAAACTGAAGGGGAGGGAAGGGAAGGGGAAGAGGGGACGGGGAGGGGGGAAGGGGAAGGGAGAAGGGGGAGGAAGGGGAAGGCAGAGGAAGGGGAAGGGGGAGGAAGGGGAAGGGGGGAGGAAAAGTAAGGGGGGAGGAAGAGGAAGAAGGAGGGATGAAGGGAAAGGAGGGAGGAAGGGAAAGGAGGGAAGAAGGGAAAGGAGGGAAGAAGGGAATGGAGGGAAGGAGGGAAAAGAGGGAAGGGAAGGGAAGAAGGGAGGGAAGCTCCTCCTCCTTCCAAAGCTAGATATTTCTCTCTGCTTCATTAGAATCTTTTCACTACTTCACCCATGAGGAGTTGAAAGCTCATTTATAAATACTGACAATAGTTGGCTCTTCTCATCCTATGGGGAGGCTACTCATTACCCCCGCATTTCCCCAGAATACTCTTGAGTAGGAGCAGTAGCAAATATTACTTAGAAGTATAGACATCGAAGAAACAGAAAGTAAATACAGGATAACCTCCAGGGGGCCTGGCTGTCTCTGTCCTAGGGTATTTAAAGCAATGCCAAGGGGTGGAGCAAAAGACCTCCCCCCCAGCACAGCCAAGTTCAGACCATCTCAGACACCTGCACTCAGGCCCTTGGTCCAATCATCCTCTCTATGCAAACCGGCTGGGAAAAGCCACTAGGAAACCTGTAAATGGACTCTAATACCATTCTAATATCCATACCCAATAATATGAGAAATAAAGCATGCCAAGAATTGGTCAGGATTATGTAGAGGAGGAGAGTTGAGTCCCCTGAAGTAAACAAGTGCCTAGAGAAGGGTAAGGTTAAGGGAAGGTGGCCACTGGGAATTTGTAAGTGAACTGAGACTCTTATGAGACACAAACTGTTCGAGAATGTCCTCTCTACATGCCTGGTGTGTTAGTCAGGTCTTTGTAGCACAACAGAAGTTATAAAATGAATCTCTCTATATATTGAAAAGGGATTTGTTATAATGACTTACAAGCTGTACTATGGCTAATCCAACAATGGCTGGCTATGAATGGAAAGTCCAAGAATCCAGTAGTTGCTCAGTCTACAAGTCTGGATGTCTCAGCTGTCTGCAGTCTATGCTGTAATCTCAGAATGTATGCTCTATTGCCAGTGAAGGAATGGATGTGCTAAGAAGGTGGAGGAAGCAGAGAAAGAGGAAAAGCTTCCTCCTTCCAGATCCTTCTATATGTGTTCAGCAGAAAGCATGGTCCAGATTATATCTCAATTAAAGATCTGAATTAAAGGTGTGACTTCCTACCTCAAAGATCTAGACTAGAAATAGATCTACCTACTTCAAATGAAGCAGAAATGGCCCATAGGTCTGTCCTCTATTTCTGGGTGTTAGTTGACCATAGGTGTAGTCACACTGACAACCAAGAACAGCCATGACAGTTGTATTCTCCACTTCACTGATACTCATGAGCAAATGACTTAGAGAGTGAAAGGAAGGAGTCATGATGATCAAACATCACACCTGCATCACTTGTAGATCTCAT